ACTGCGCGTTTCGTCCAGTTTAGGGTTCGTCAGCTGGAAGTGCCTGCACTCAAGCGAGTGATGGTGTTCCCACTGAAACTTGAACCTCGTGCCTGTCACTTCAAACGCCAAGGTATCATCAACTATGCCACTGGAGCACGCTGTGCACTTCTTTCACAACGAGTATTAGTGATTGTTATTTATTGATATACTTGTAACTCTCCGTTGTTTTATCTGATCTATTTGTTCGAAACTCCTTATGAAAAGACTGAAAGAGTTACTGCATCAGGTAGAAGAGTTCACTGGTCAGAGTGTTGTGTTCAAGTGATCATGATTTGATTATTCCTCCATTCTTACCATTTTTTATTCCTTCACATCTATATTATGGTTGACAAACTCAGTTCCTGTACTAACCACAGCCAAGTTAATTGCCATAATGAATATTCAGTCAATATCGAGGCATCCGCATAGGAGCCCATATGCCAGTTGAGGTCAAACAATTTGATCCAATAAGACAACGGAGAATTAGAAGTATATCAATAGATAGCGAAAATTTGTTCATTGAAAGTTTCCTTCTTCTACTTCTGTCTTGTACACTTCTGACAACCGAGCAACACTTTCATTTTGGTGGAGGAAGTTCTTCGAAAAATTAAAAAAAGAGGAAACTTTAAGTAACTGCATTTGATTCGCTGAAATTTAAAAGCTGTAATGCATCAATGCTTTATGATTTGCTGCATATGGGTAAGCATGAAATTCCACTAACTTCAGTTTTAGATATGTATTAATGTCCATCAGATTGAATTTTCAAGTTCCTGACTTAGGTCTTACAGACCTTGAACACATCAGCTTGGACATTCATTGCTAATAATGCCTTTGACTTCTTATCGAAGTTTTAGCGGTGAATGTTATGCATATAATATCATAAGATGTATCATGAATAATCATCGATACAAAACTTACTGAAACAGTAAATTTCATGTCTCACAATATCCAGTACAGACAGGGTTACATTTAAATTCTTGACTTAAGGTTAAAATAATTTTTTTCGCATATATGCAAGAAGACCTTAATCTTCAGGAATACACAAGTGGAACAAGTTTCTATTAGTTTGTGATTAGAACCTATCTTGACAAACTTCTCTTCAACTTAAGAATTGATCAACGGAGAATACTGGTTACAAGTTAGACATGCACTAGCAATACGTCAGTTACAAATTCATTATTATTGTTAAGAATACAGAAAGAATCAAATGGTGTATGCACTTTGACAACATAAAATGTTCTCATTTATATTCATTCGGTAAGAATGGAGAGATATATTTTACATTCTTTATGTTATATTACCAGAAGTGTCAACACGACAGCCGCCCCTAATTGTTAATACGAAAACTTGATCCGTGGTTACGTATACCATACACTAATATATCATATCTGAATGAATCATGAGAATGAACTGCGAACCAACCTCATGCATTTAGATGAGTCTACAGAAATGAAAAGAGTCTAAGGATTGCAATCAGATGAAGTTTGCATAGCCTTTATCCTCCTCTTGTTCAGGAATGACGAAATAATCTGTTTTATTGGATTGACTTCTATGCAGTACTTTTTTCGAACCTCTTTCATATTCCATTTGCATTGATGTTCACACTTCATCTATCTGCTAACTTACCATTTTATCAGCTCATATTATTGTTAGAGTTATCTTTTTAATTGACTGCAGAATAACTTCAGGTTTGAGCTTGAATTTTCTAACTGTTATGTTTATAAGAGTGGAATGATCGATCGTTCTTTCGCCAATAAACAGGTTTGTTTTGTGGTGCCTCGATATTACTATGGACCACATTTTTGATACCTTTAGAGGGGCTGACTGTGCGAGCATATGTGTCCTTTTCTCATAGTTTCAGATTTGTCTTTCGTATAAATTTGACTGCAACTGACTGCTGATGCAACCCCATTGTGACCAAAACTCTGCAGAAATCATAATAACAGGAAACATATTACTATTAAAGTCAAGATTAGAGCAGTAACGACATTGTGATCTAAATTCAGAAAGTTACTGTGCCTAGTAAAAAACTTAAATGCACGAAAATGCTCATACGAAATAATCAACAGTTACACTGAGCTGAAGAACCTTGAATTGAGTGACATGTATACCTAACTCAATGAAAACCTTGGTTATGTATTTTCTATCAAAAAGGTCACATAAGCCAACATGTTAAAGAGTCTTTTGTCCAAATGCATCAGACACACTTTCTATTCTGTTTGCTTGAGTTTTGTGTTCTTCAGTCAGTAGTTGACTCCACAGTTTATGAAAGTAGTCTGTTCTTTTTATCCACTTCCATTTCGAATTTCACAATTCGTATACTCTTCTGAAGTTAACCGTGTCGACCCTTGTATCCAGATCCTGAGAAAAAGCTTTGGTTCTGGCTTTGGGCACTGAGTAGTAACATCTTCCAAATACCTGGAAAACCCTATGAAGTCTTGTCATTAATCTTCTCACGATTTGTCTCTGAAACCTATTTACAGCTTCAAATTGGACTACTCCAAATGTTGACGGCTTCACAATATGTGCATACTGGAAGCACAGAAAGTTTTTTGTTGTAATTCACTTTATAGTTTCACTAAAGATGATATCATCATCATTGTTGATACGATATGAAATTATCCATTTTAGGAGTTCATATGCCAGAATATGTCAATAATTTACGTCCATCGAAGGTATTACTTAATAAAGATTGATACTTTTTACTATGGGATAGATGACTGTCGTGACCAAGTAGTATACTTAACAACACTGTGGCATTTAAGGTGAGTAATTGGTACTAGGTTCGAGTTGTAAGACGGACGGTTTGGTACTGTAATGAAAGGTTATTCAGTCAATTGACTGAACAGTCAATTTATATACACACGATTATGCACCAAAGCTATATATCTCTGGCTTTGAGTTGCATTCAGTTAGCAATATTTTATAAAAGGGGTTTAATAACAAGTCATTTTTATCTTATGTTGTGATTACGTGAATTTCTATTGCATTACAATGTTTAATGAATACACTTTGATCAGTAATCGAAATCACTAGGAGTTAATTAAATAATGACAAATGGTCAATGAACTAAATGGATATTCTAATGAAGAATCTACTTAGTGTTCATCTATTCAAAAATGGAAATAAAATCACCCTTATTTTAAATAAATAAGTAAATAAGCAGGGTATAATGAATTCAGAAGTAAAACTGATTAGCATGCTTTTTTCAAAACTTCTGAATCCCTGGTTAACTTTCTCCACTTTACTTTCATTTTCTCTTTATTTCAAAATTTGGTTGAAAAGGCGAATAATGAAGATATGAAAATTCAAAATTACCGGTGACCCTTATAAATTAACCTTTTATAAAAATCACTGAGAACATGGATAAAAAGAAATTGGGAATTATGAAAAATATTTTGAATCCCTCAAACAGACGTTTTCACTCTTTTTTTCTTAGGTAAATGTTTTTGGTAGAATCGTTAACTTGTGGGCTAGGTAAGCAGAGTCAGCTCACCGATGACACAATAAGGGATCGAATCCAGAATCGTCAGGTCTGGCGGTCAGCACATTACCATTTAGCCACTGGATGGGAATCCAATGATTCACATTTTTTCAGGTTGCAGTATTGCACGATCATCATCCAGTGGGACAGGCAAATATTTGTTCTCACATCCCATTTAGTAACTTCAGGACTTCAAAAAATGGATTTCGAAACATGGCACTGATGATGATGGTCATACTCTGATGCGAACTGACAGGATTAGAAAAATGTGGATCATTGAATTCCAATGCAGCGGCTGAATGACAACACGATGATCAACAAACCTGACATTTCTGGATTCAATCCCTGGTCAGCCTGTAGGTGTGCACCGGTGAAGTGTTCCGTAATAGGATGAAACAGCTTTCCTGTCCCCACACTCTATGAATGGTTCTGCAATTGATGTCAGTTCACCTTGAAATCAGTTAGTCTCCTACAAGCTCTCAAACTATGCAAACTGTTTTCATTTTCATACCAAATATCGTCACATTGTCAGCAGTTCTATTCATCCAACTCTTTTTAATACAATTTTTAAAGGTTTCCGAAGCGTTTTTCACATCCCAAAACGTTAAAGGAGTCAAAAACAGTGCTATAGATAAACCAGGATGCAACTGATTATTTCTTCGACAAAGCCAACACAGACAGTTGTAGCATAATCATTTCTTTTGATTATGACCAAGTTCAAGGTTTCAGATTTTTGACTGTTTATAAATTTGGTCACTGAATTATTCACTATTTTAAAAACTTTGTTAGCGATATTCGTATTTGCAGTCCTGCAGGCACTTGATATCTTTCTACCTTCGCAGAATTTTAAATATTGAGTTGAGTGCCTATCATGAGAAAAGATGTCACAGGTAACATTGTGACGAGTCTAAGCGCGCAAGACATCATACAAAAAACTGTATGTCTAATAAACTGGCAGAAGCTTGCAAATTATTCGCAGGTATTTTTTTATAAAACTTGTAATAAATTTGAGATAAAATCTAATACTCTCTACACTTTCCTAACAAATTCCTACATTTCTATGATATTGCTGTTTGTTAATTGTGATCACATCCCAAATCCCAAGATAAAGTCATTCAAAAGTCTTACTGAGCAGTTTAAAGAGTGATTGAGACTGTTTTAATTAAGTCAGTTAAGAAGTACTGAAATCGAAGTCTATTCTTATATTGTTTTATTTCGAGTAAGTAGGTGTATGAAGTTGAAAGGCAAATCTCATCAAAGATTTGATGAAGCCTAATGTGCAGCAGCTAGCGTAAAAATCTAACTGTGAATTCGTTTCAAATATACAGACTAGTATGCTTGAATGTGTGTAGTAGTAATAGTAGAGCAGAATAAATAAGATACTAATATTAAGCAATGTTAATAAAATAATCTGCTCTAGCCAAATTTGTCCACGTTTCCCAGAAATCTTATTGGTTGATAAGTTTAACCAGTAGGGATATTTTTTTGGGGAAAAGCTAAACAACATAAATTCAATGAGGATTTTATTATTTTACACATAATTACTTTTATTGTATTATCCTGTATTTTGTTCTTCACTAAGAGGTTGCGTAATCAGTAAGTTATTAGTGTTTACTTCCAATTCACTTTTTTGATGAAAGTATGTATTTTCCATACAATATAATTCGAAATCTACTATTTTGTCGGTAACATAACTCCATGTACTGGTTGCAGGCATTTGATTTATGTGCAAAAATATTATTTGAAAAGGTGGGGAACGTGCGATTCATGCGAATGTAAACGCTTCTGATGGCGTTTTGTTCAGTTTTGTTCTTTTCACTCCACACTGAACAGTTTATTCCTCAAGTAACATAATTGCCATGTACCTTATCGGCTACAGCACTTTACTCTCATATAAGATTCAATGGATAGGACATAGTTATAAACAATAAAATTTGCTTGAAACACCAACCAGTGAATAAAACCTTATCACTATGTGCGATATCAAATAAACAGTATGGAATTATGTGGTACCATATTACCCAAAGTTCATTCTTATAGTGCTTTAATCTTACCCGTCAGATGGAATTGTTAACTTTTCTTTGTTTCATAATTTCGTTACCCAAAAAAGATGGAACACTAATATCATCTAATGTGTTAACCTTTTATACACCTTTAGTGGATAAGTTTGCGAATATATGGTTGTTTTTCTCGAAGTCACTAAACTACTACGGTAAGCAAAACAGTACCTGGAAGGTCTTTTCAGGTTATTATAAGAGCTGATTTTGTATCGCAACTTCGAAAGACAATAACTTTTGACCGTCATAAGCCTTATCCTTTTATCTCCCTATTAACTTTAAAATAGCTACAAAAGTGAATGTACTCAATTCGAAGAGTAATTTCGGCATTTTTTAGCCAATATTTTCACTTGCTCCGTTCAAGATCATTTTCTCCTTCTTTAACTTACACCTCCATAATGTAAATGACCATTGTAACAAGCTTTCATGAACATGTTAAAATGAAAAACATTATTTAGACTTGTATGTGAGAGATTGTCATACGAAAAACGTTATTTACTAGAATGCTATCAATCCAAGTATTCATTTTCCACTGAGAGTTGTTGTGAAATGTTAATTTTTTTCACAACTATCTTTATCTCATTTTCATATGGAGTTTTAATCTTATTATCGTTGCAAGTGAAAGTGAAACCTTTATTTAGAAATATCTGAATGTATATATATAAATATATATAGTGCATATGTTTTCTATGACGAAAGCTTAACATAACTTTTGAGGGTCTACTCAAGATAAAATTAGGTGAGCTTAAACTAACCTACTTCATGAAAATCAATCTTTAACGACCAAAAAGAACATCCGTTGTTACATGCACTGCGGTTTGAGTGGGAAAATTTGAAAATCGGCGACAGTAGATCCTTACTGAACATTTAGATTAGTAAGATATACCAGTAGTTCATGATTTCTGTCATATATGATAACTTTTAGTCTCATCTAAGCTGTCTCCCATAGATCCTAGTTGATACTGTGGTTAAACGACTGATAAAAGTTTGAAAGTTGAGATCTTTCTGAGTTAACTTTGCAGTTAATTGGGTTTACATAAATATAGTAATCGAATAGCTCATCTATAGCTTTCAAATGTGAACTGATGATATTTAATGCATGCATGAAAGAATACTGGATGTTTATGGTGAGCAAGCATTGATTTATATAGGGTTATCGCTTTTCGTAATGACACTGAATTCGGTAATAACGACAAAATTTCTAAAGTTACCAGTCACATTTAAAATATTAACTGTATTGATACGTCAAGCTTAGACAAGTTCTCTTTTATGAAATGCTTTAACATACACGTCGGTTGGTACAACCTGTGTTTAGTCAAAAATGATAACTTCTTTATTCACCTTTCTAGTAAACTGTTCTCTGCTGTATATCACCTAAGGTAGTTCATAGATTAATAGAGTATTCATTCTAAAACGTGAGTGTAACAATCTAATATATCCTGGTTTTTATAAATTTAAACGTTGATCAAGATTTCGCAATTTCTCAGCTTCCAGCTACATAAAGTTGAAGAGTATTGAATTTTTCTAGAATCTTCGTAAACTCTAAGTCAATTTGGATACAAAAATGTCTTACATCTAAGTTCACACTCATTGATAACCCTGAATAGCGTAAACCTGTATACTACTTCTACTGAAAAACATCCACGTTCTAATATACAAATATTCTCCAGTTATAGTAGAAATGATGAAACAGGTTTTATATCAGAAAAAGAGAAAACTTTAAGTTTGTCAAGGCTTTCATTTGGTAAACAATGAATAACGGTGAGTGAGACTTTTATCTTCACAATATAACGTCGTATGATTCCATTTAACGTGAAGTCTTCCCTACTCTCACATAATATAAATATAATTATGCCAACATCAATTAATCAAATAACAGAATGAAATCATCTAAGTTTATACCCATGAATCGAAGAAGATAATTAATGTTACTTAGTTAACAGGAAGGATTTAAAAACTATCAGTAAATGAGATTAATAAAATGTTTAAAATGATTTGTAGATATTTCTGTTAATTGATCTAAATTACTTGACTATGATAATTTAAATTTTTTTAAACCTTAAAACTTTAAAAAAGATAAAAATGAAAATACAAAGATTAATTGGTTCTTGGGTACTTCTGAAGTGATTTACTAAGTGTAAAGTATATGAACAGTACACTGTATAAAATCTAAAGAAAATTGTTGTTGTTCATCATTACAAGCGACTGAGAACATTTTGTGAAAATTTGTATATAATAAAGGTTTTATTACAAACAACATGTGTGATACATTATGGAATTTGCAACAAGTAACTTTTCAGAAAATTCGCCCTCTGTACAATATTTTTAAAAGAACTAATCATTGTACATGAGAAGTGTCAATAAGAACGGAATTAAAAGTACTGATGTACAATGGATAGTTGGCATTACATTAGTTTATCATCTGGATTTGCGGATTGATATAAAATCGAGTGTAACTTTTGGTGTTGGTATTTCACCTAACCAGTATAAAAATCTGCAGTTTGATGTTGCTATCCCGGAAATTATTATTATTTGTCCCTCGGGTTCCTGGTGAAACATATGGCTTCACTAACACGTCGCCACTGGACTCCGTTCTTTGCAGTCTCTTGAACCTGCCTCCACAACTTCCCAGAAGCTCTCATTTCTTTCCCACACCATCTGCTCCATGTCACCTTTGGACACTCAACTCGTTGCTTCCCATCTGGGTTGCACTGGAGAGCCTGGAGCCTAATGTCCCCTAATGGTCTTCTCAGTGCATGCCCAATCCATCTCCACTTCCTTCTTTATATTTGTTGCTTGATAGGTTCTTGGTTAGTTCGTTGCCAGAATAAGTTCCTTGTTGCTTACTCTTTCTGCTCATCTGATCTTCAGTATCGAGTGAGCGTAGGCGGCAGCTGTTGATGAATATCTGTAGTTTGTTGGAAATGCTTTTCGTGACACGCTAAGTTTCTGAACCATATGGCAGTACTGGCTTGACACTGGTGTTAAAAATCTGAATCTTGTTCTTTATGCTGAGTCTATTTGATCTCCACACCGGTTTCAGGTTGATGAAAGCTTGTCTTACTTTTCCGATCCTGTGCAATATTTTTCAGCACTTATATGTTCATTTCAACCCAGTTTAACCTTTTTTTCCTCACTGGAGAAATGACAGTTTCAAAACATTTTAAGAAGTTGCGAGAGTACATGATACATTTAGAAGATATTTTCAAAAGGTTAGGACTTACAGAAAGGGGAGAATTTGATGAAATATATTTAGTGGAGAAAATATTTGGTACTTGAAAGTTTAAGCAGGCCGCCATCTGAATCACTACCTTTAACAGCCTATTCAGAAAGGGTGAATTTATTTATGCAAATCAAAGACTCAACGTTATTGCACCATTCAGCATCGAAACGCAGTAAAAAATACTTCACTTCCAGTTTCAGAAATGAAGCGAACACAAGTAGCTTACTTTTATAGAAATTAAAATGTTTTCCAGTAACACATGCAAAAATCGTCGGAAAACATAATTGACTGTCTTAGTTAGATGTACTTTCAAGTAACAGATCGGTTACCAAACTGCTTTCTGTCTATATGAGAAGGAATAAACTGTCTTTTGGTACTATTCTTTATTAGATATGAAATTTCATTTTTTTCAACTCAAAACCAAGTCATGCTATGGACTGCTAGGCAAGTCAAATACTTGACAATTCAATAGCTGACATTTTGCGTGTAATTTTGAAAAATAAAATAATAGCTCATCTTAATTTTTTTCAAAACAGTTACGTTAATGGAAAAATCTGTCTCTAAATTTCCCTTAACGCACGAAATTATTTACATCTGAATGAGCAAATATACTATTTGAATCATTAATTAGGTATACACCTTTATATGAACAATAGCTTTTGATTTCCTCGAACCTCAATTGTAAGTGGTAGTAGTGGTAACTTTATTCGTTTGTTCTAGCAGGATAATGAAGCATATCATGCCGATAGAACTGTTCTTCATAGACCTGACATCATTTTCCAACCGCTAATAAATAAATATATGTATGTATCTTTAGCTTTTACTCTGCTGTGTGATAATGCGAATTTTCAATGACTAGACATATTTCAGGTTGACAGAACAAAGGATATAATTGCTTGTTAGAAACTTTATAAATCGCTTAAATCAAAGCCAATGCGGCATAAGATTCTCAAGGTAATAGTACTATGTAGTGAATTATTTTTGGGCTGTAACACAACGTTTCGGAATAAATATATTGAGTAGTCATTTGTTAAGCACATGTGTGTTATACAGATCAACAAATTTTTTCAGATGCACTGATAGAATATTTTGTGATTCCACTTTTGTAATTCGTACGTGCCTAATTACTGAGATAAACAAAATAGAATATTCAATCCAAGCGTTTACTTATTTTGTATTCATTTTGATTTATCACTTATTTGTACAATCGTCTCATCATTTTCTTAACAGGTTAGATAAACGAAATTCAGTCCTTACCCACCTTAGAATAAGAAGTTTTTCCTGAATCGATATGGGGTCGGGGATATCTACTTCCC